GCTGGGAACTGCGTGGGGGTCCCACCACCACGTGGAGAGATACCACTTCCTGGGAGCCTGCATGTCCCACCTTCTGCTTCCTCTGCTACACCCTCAGTCCACTCTCCCCGTGGCAGCTTCCTTTCACCACAAATGAAATCCACCATCATTTTGCTGGCGCTGAGCAGCACTGGCCACAGCAACGGGGGAAATAAGGAGAAAGCTGAGCACCTCCCGAACTGGATGTAGTCTAAGTGAACAGAAGGATGTGTGCGGAAGGCCAAACTTGGGACTCCTCTTTTCTTTCCAAGACCAGCGTAGCCACTCATGTACCCTAAGGGTGGCTCTCTGAACCTACCCACCAGTGGGCGGCCTGGGGGAGTCCCAGGGGTCCCGTCAATTCCGAGTCGTAGAAGCCTCAACACGTTCCAAGCAGGAGGGAGCATTGACTGACCGAACACCGTGGCCTGCTCCTGCTCTGCCTGTGCTTCCACGTGGCTAGGCTTCACAACACCTACACAACGTGTTCCATGGAGTTGCCCCTCTCTTCTTCCTTGCAAGCCCGCCTCCTCCTTGGGAGTAGTAGCCAGCCCCGCACCTGCACAGGCCCCGCGGTGTGGGAGGGCTTACTACGCGGTTAGAGGGTCAGTGCAGGGTCCAGAGCTCGTGAGGCGCCCCAATGTGGCACAGAGCTAAGGAGATACTGCTCGCATGCCACCGTGAGAGGCAAGTATGCACAGAGAATTATGACAGAGCCCATATTCCACTCCTTTTTCAGCAAGCTATTTATTCACCAGCACGGCAGCCCTCGGGTTACGTAAGCGAAGCCTCTGCGTATGGATGGCAGTCTTGCACACCGCTGAAAGGAAGACTGGGACGCGATGGCAGTCCCAACTCGGAGCGGCTGGGTGCCTTTCAGCAGATGCCTGGCCTTCAAGACCTTGAGCTGTCACTGGGAAATGGGGCTAAAGGTACTTCTGTCTGCCTTCTGCTATGATGCAAGGCTTAGATGAGATCGAGACTGTAGAACTCCCTTAACAAACAAGAATGAGTATTGCCATTCATTCTCTGTTGTATCCTCGATTTTTAATCTCTTCCAAAAGAACACTAACTGCAGAACTATGACAGAGTACATACCTTCTTCTAAGGCTTATGACTAAGAGATCTTCTGAAAAAAGAAAAAAGGCAAGGAAATCCACAACATCTACCTTCTCCAGGTGTCCCAAATGTCTTGAGGTAAGAACATTATTAAGACATCATTAAGGTGTAGATGTCCCCCAAACTTGCACGTGCTCAGAGGCAGAGTTTCTGAAAGGCCGTGGGCCCATGAGGGCCTGTCCTCATCAGAGGGTTTACCCACGGACAAGCAGAGCATGCGGCTGTGAGGCAGGGCTGGCGGAGATGCCTACTGAGGGCGTGGCCCAGAGGGCTCCATCCCCCCTGGGTGCCCCTCCACTGGCCTCTTCCTGGCTGCCATGCCGTGGGCCATGCCCTTCTGCCAGCCTTTCCACCATGTGCTCCCAGCCTTGGAGCCTGTCTTGGTTCTTTCCTCTTGTTGCTGAGAAAAACTACTAAAATCCCCAAATTAAGAAACGAAAGCTTTATTCAGCTCACAGTTTGCAGAAGTTTCAGTCTGTAATCAGCAGGCGCTAAGGCAGGGTGGCAAGGCATGGGGCGACAGTTCAAGGCCGCACAGGACAGCAGAGCACACCAGCAAAAGGGGGAGGGCGAGCCTTTTCTCCTGCCTTCTGTCGGAAGCTGGCTGCCTGCCGGTGGCAGGTGCCGCTCACCCAGCTCCACAGCCCCCTGCTGCACAGGCTCCCACGGCCCCTGCTGGGGGGCTGAGTTACAGTTTTCAACTTCCCAAGCTGACACAATGTATCGCCCATGACAATCCATCCCCTAAACTCCGCAACCTGATACACTTCTTTCAACTGGTCTCCATACAAAAAGAAATGCTTACTCTTGTCACTTCACAACTTGAACATTATAATACGGCTTTAACAACCCTCAAGAAGCAGCACTAAATCCAACAGCATTATATTACATTAGAGCCATAACACTCCACCCCTGGCCCCGCAAAGCCTCGTGCACATCCCCTTCTGAAGAAACCATTCAGTCCATCCCAAGCATTGTCAAAGTCCTAAGAGCTCCAGCACTGCTGGAAAGTCCATCTCAAGTCTCCTCTGAGATGAAAGGCAACGCTTCCCTGCAAGCCCCTGTCCAAATGAAAAGCTGAACACTTCCAGTATTCAATGGTACAAGATAAACATTTCCATTCCAAAAGTTACAAACAGGGGGACACAAAGGAATGGGATCAACGCAGGTCCAAAACTCAGCAAGCCAAACATTCAGCCCCGTACTCCCTGTGCAGCATCTGAGCCCATCTGTGGAAAACTGCAGGCTCCAAATAGAGATTGGGTGGCTCCACCCATGGCGCTTCTGCTCAGAGCTCCTGCAGCTTCTCTTGGGCCTGCTTTGCTCCTTCCTTGCAGCTTTCCTTAGATCCACGTTTCTGGCTTTTCCTTCTGGGGTCTCCATTGCACCTCCAGCTTCCCCCTTGCGGCTTCCTACACTGCCCTGTGGCCTCCCAGGCCTTCTGAGATCAAGGTGGAGGCCTCAACTCCACAACTCCTGCATTCTGCGTGCACCTGAAACCAGCAGCACGTGGATGGTACGAAGGCCTGCTGCCAGGCGGGCAGTAGCCAGGCTTTCCTGTCTCCTGGCTGTAGGGGTCGCATGTCCAGATGGCTGAGCACTCTGAATGTTGCTCTGAGGAGCAAATTTTCTATGCTGCCCCCATTCTGAAGCCAGTGTGGCTGCTGCCATCTTGGAACACAGTGTTCTGGGCTTTCTCTTAAAAGCAAGAGCTTTCCCTTTTGCGGCTTTCAAGCTGCAGAAGGTGGAGACCTGTCACTTCCTGTGCTGCTTCCAGGCTGGCTTTTATACTCTCTTGTTCCTTTTTAGCAATTGAAATTTCCTCAGCTTTATCTTTGCAGTCCACAGCCTTACCGGGAGAGACTTTCTTTCTGGCCCAACTCACATTTTAAATCATTCTGCTGGGCTCTTCACTCTTCATTCTCAACATAAATCTGACTAAAAGCCCCCCAAAATAGCTACGCCACTGCCTCAGCACTAGACTGCCTGGAAATTTCTTCTGCCAGATTAATTAGTCCACTGGTCTTAGTCTCAGGCAGTCTCTCAACATGAACGAAATGCAGACAAACTTTCTGCCAAGCCATAAGACACATCACCTGGAGCGCAGCAAGCAGTGCAGTCCCTCCCAGCAGCCTGGTCTTTGCTGGCAGGCTTTCTATCAGCCTTCCGGTCCCTGAGCCCGGACCGGAAGCTCCCCTACAGGCTGCGTACAGCGTTCCAGCTCTGCTCCTGGCAACAGCTCCGAACCCTTCCAGACTCTTCCCAGAGCCGTTCCCAAAGGCTCTCGAACCACATGGTCAGGTAGAGTCACAGCAGCAAATGCACTTCTCCGATACCAAATTCTGTCTTGCTTCCTTTTTTCTTGTTGCTGAGACAAAATACCAGACACCCAAAATTAAGGAAGGGAAGATTTGTTTAGCTCGGGTTGGCCAACTTGCTCCAAGGCAGGGTGGCATAGCAGAGAGGCAACAGTTCATGTGCTGGAAGATGGAAAAGCAACAGGAGTAAAGGGAGAGCGCGAGGCTTCTTCCTTATACCGTGCGCACTAGGCGCCTCCAGAAGTGCAGCACCCACGCCGGCTCCCTCCCCTCTCCTTGCACAGGCTGGCCACGTGTACAAAGTGAGGCCCCTGGCCCCCTACTGAGTCACTTAAACCTCTAGACTTCTCAAGTTGACACAGTGTGTCAGCCATAAAGGAGCCAGACAACAACGCACTGAAACATGAGCCAAAATAAACTTCTTTCTTATCTCAGCCAGAAGAAAGAAACTAAGACAGCTGGTAACTTAAGACTTGATTTTAGCTTCTGAAACAGGGGCTTGAGTGATCCTCCTACCTCCGCCTCCAGAGCAGCTATTTTACCCCAGTATTAGCAAGCTGAGCCAGCATTCCCGCGGAGTTTGAATCCAGGAAGCTCAGGCTGAGTAGCTAGCTCAGCGGCATCAGCACCTGCCTGGCAAGCACAATGTCCTGAGTTCGATCCCCAGTACTGCAAGACTGTACACCTAGAAAAGCAAATGAGTCTGAATCCAGGAAATCTAGTACCGCATTTCCAAATGTAGCACTGTGGGAGCGAACGCCAAATTCCCGCGCTGGGGCGGCTGGGCCTGGAAAGGCGAGCCATTCTGACCCCTAAAATTTTCTATGTAAAGTACAGGAGTGCATGCTCAGATGTCATAACACACACGTATCTCTTTCCATTCCTTAGCGCATGATGCCTTGCCATAGCTCCAGCCAGCTGCCTGCCTGCCTCTCTCTCTCTCTCTCTCTCTCTCTCTCTCTCTCTCTCATTTTTTATCAGTCATTATTTTCCTGTTAGAGAAACAAATAATCAAAAAAATCCAGCAAAGTCATTTGAGAATTTACCAGCAACAGGGTAACTCCCACCCTGTCCAATGCACTTGCGCTGTGTGCAGTGGGCACAAGACACCCAGGAGCTAAAGTGTAATCACTACATTTCAGTCAGCCTTAGGAAAACAACAACAGTGACAACGTACTTCAAAAAAGGAAGCAGATGTGATATTTTATTGTTAGATATGGCTGTGCTGCACAGCAACCGTGCACATTACACACTGACTGCGTCCTGACCACTTTTCTCCCCACCCCACATCCCCTTGCCACCTCTGGAGTCTACTTCCTGTTTCCTACCATCTCTCTTTTATTTTGCTCTTAAACTATTTATGTTTTGGGCTTCTCATATAAACGATGTGAGTACTCTTTCTGGATCTGACCCGTTTCATTTAGCATTCTGGTCTCCAGGTCCATTAAAATATAAATTTTGAGTTAACATAAACTATCTCCAAAAATTCTCACTGAATGTTAATGTTGTGAAGTTTAGGAAAACATGGCCAGAGCCCCCCCTCACCTGGCTGATGTCACTCATCCAGGCCGCCTTCTCCTGCCGCGAGGGCGCCAGCAGGACCACAGTGAATGGCGCGGCGTGGGGCGGCTCCACCACTATCTTGAAGTCCAGGTGTCCAAACATGTGTCCAGAGCCTTTGGCTGCAATGCACAGAAAGCCAAGGGTCAGAGAGGACTCGAGGGCAGCAGCCGCCACCCTCTGCGCCCCGGGGCAATCCGCCTGCACCGGAGTCCAGAGCTCCTGTCGGCAGTACTGCTGCTCCCGGGCACCGGGAGGCACAATTCCTCTTTAAATTCTATTGGTGTCAGTGCCCGCTCGCAGGGCAGTGGCCGCACTTCACAGGGAGCTGGGCGCAGGCATCTTACTTCTTTTTATAGAGTTTTATTAAACTCAAAGCAGATGAAGCGGGGAAGCCAGCAGGCTGCTAAGGACCAGCGTCCCGTCCGCTGCAGGTGTATTTTAATTTCCAGAATGTGTAAACTTCAACTTTTTTGGCTGACAGTGCTGGGAATGGCTCCCAGGGCTTCCTGCATGTGAGGCAGATCATCCTTCCACTGAGCTACAGCCCAGCCCAAATCCAACACTAATTCAGCTCCTCTATCTTCTCCCCCCTCCACTAAAATGCTAGCATCGTGAGCTCAGTAGCCTGTCCCGTGCACTGAGGGCTCGACAAAGCTCGCAGCTTAAATGATGCCCGGCCACAGCTAGGGGACAGCACAGTGGCGCTTCTTAACTACGAAAGATTAAAAACCAGAGCACTTTATTTTTCCTCCCACCCTGACCGCTGGGGGCAGAAAGTGGCTTACAGTCCTCATCGCTGGTGTCCGGCTCCTCGATCAGCGTGCACTCTATGAGGGAGAGAACCCCACCTGTCTGGAAACAGAGCGGCATCCGTAAGGGCTGGAGGTGGGGGCCCCGCGAAGCTCTGATGCTCAGAGCCTGTATTTCAGTTGCTACAGAAGAAAGCAAGGCAATTCCGCCCCTAAGTGACTTCTTGGAGTCCACAGTGAGACGTGGGTGTGCCTACTAAACAATTCATTCAATCCCCGTTACACGCCTGCCCCCCAGTCCTGCTCTCGTGTCTGTACGATCTGGGGGCTTCACCCGTGGCAGATCAGACGCCACCACAGAGGCCTTGGAGCTGGATTTGCCGAGCAGGAAGTGGCTCACTCCGTGCAAAGCTCCATCGCAGCTTTGTAATGTTGATAATCAAACAGCAGGAATAGGCAGCCCAGCGTTTCCTGCCAGTGGCCCAGAGAGTAAACGCTACAGGCGTGGTAAGCCACACCATTGCTACAATCAGTTAAAGCTGTTATTTGCCACTAAAGCAGACACAGGCAAAATGTAAACAAATGAGTGTGACTGTGTTCTAATAAAACTTTATTAACAAAACAGGCAGCAAGCTATAGGGCCCTAGATAAAAGGGCAGTTAGCAAAGACTACGCCACTACACTGAAATGATCTGCCAAGAGTTTGTAGCTCAGCGGCTGTCAATTAAAAATAATTTTTCCCAGGTTAGGATTTTAGTTGCACTGCCTCATAATGTGCGGTTAAAATAAATATTCATTACTTTGAATCCAGATGGCAACGAAGTCGCCTAAATGGGCAGCCGCGACCGCTCCCCACTTAAGCGCTGCCCACCTAGGACAGCCGCGGGGCAGGCCGCGCAAGCAGGGCGGGCGTACCTTCAGGAGGTGCAGCTTTCCTCCCGAGCTCCGCGTGCAGATGAGGAAGTGCTTGGTGAACAGGAAGCACTGCCTCTCGCCTTCCTTTTTCAAAGACAGAGAACCCAGTCGCACTTTGCTGAGCTTCCCTCGCTCAACGGAGGGTACTTGAATAAGGGAACCTGCAGGTTGCAAAGGCGAAGGACACAGCGATTAAAATCCCATCGAGCGAGGCGCGGGGCCTCTCGGCCGGAAACACAAGGGCCGCTTGCCAGAGCAGCCGAAAGCCGCGAGCACAGCCGGATCCGGGCCCCGGCCCCTCGCCCGCGCGGGGTGAGCCGTGCATTCCACGTTAAGGGTGCACCCGCCTCGCAAGAGTCTGCAAGTACTCGAGAGTCCGCTCAGCACTCATCAGCTAGAACACAAATGTGAAAGAAATTCAGTCTGCACGCGGAGCATGAGGACGTCGGCCTTCCCTCCCTGCGGCTGTGCCCTCGGGCGCTCCTGGGGATTATGTAACCGCACGCCGAGCCGTGACGGCGCGGGAGCGCAGAGCTGGTGCTTTCTGAACCACCGACAGTGGCTAATCAGCGTATTAGCCCGCTTGTACTTCAGAAACACAGAATGTACAGCACATGTGTATTATAAGAATACATAAATTATATACTCCAATGCAATTTAGTTAAGGACTGTTCTTTGAAGAGCAGCTATTTCAAGTTGCATTTAAATTGAGTGTGAAAAACTTCTTTGTGGACTTTCAATGGAAAATAAACCAAGTAAAATCTCTACTCCATTCCCCAGGAGTAAAACTACCTCCCGTACAACATAAGAAGCAACACAGACTTTATACAGTACTGCGATTGCCTCTGCTTACTTCTAGATTATAACCTAATAGTAACCTCTCCCACCCTAACAGAGAACACCAGGCGGCACCAAGACAGACTCTTACAGGCGCCTGGTGCTGCTGCCGAGATCCACCGAGCAGCACTGTTCCTCGTGTTGGGTTAAGCTGTCGCCCCCAGGGCTCCACAGGCCCAGGGCCCTCCTGACAGCCCCAGTGCATGCTCGGCCCCTAGACGTCACCCGTGGTCATCAGATGACAGAAGACTGCCAGCAACTTCGATTTTCTCTTCACAGTTTTCCTGAGTTTCTTTTAATGAACAGATTATTTCTCTGAGTGGAAATAAACGCTAATTTCTTTATTACATAAAGAACACACACATCTAAGGCAGCAAGAGCCTGGTTATGAGTCACAAAATCAGCATAGTAACAGTGAGGCTCCCCAACTGCTTCTACCTTTAACAGAGATGGGCAGGGTGGCTGCAGAGGGGCTCCAGGCCCCAATCCACATCCTCCATTTCTGTGGCCTGGACACACACACACACACACACACACACACACATCTGACAGATGGAGTGGGCAGCTACTCTGTGCCCAAGGGGGCACGGAGGAGCCAGTCCTGGGCTGTGAATGGGCTGGGGCAAACGGCCAGGAGAAGTCTGGGTCCCAGGAAAGGCACTGAGCAGAGGTCAGGTGGGTGGTGAGTAGGTAGAGGCTGGGCCGGGATGGAATCTGCACAGCAGAGGAGGTTGGGAGGGCAGCAGGGGAGGGACGGGGAGGGGAGGGCGAGGGAGGAGTAAGGGACAAGCAGGGACTCATGGGACTCCCAGGGACGAAAGCAAAGCTAAAGGAGCCATGGAGGGCCTGCTTCAACCCTCCTCCACATACATTTTACAGGTGGGGAAACTGAGACCCTGGCTAAGCAGCTCCCTCAAGGTTGTGCCTAAGTAAGGGGTATAGTTAGGGATCATGCCCTGGACAGGGAATGATGGGAGAGCCAGTGGGAGCGTGTGATGTACTTCACTTAGCACTGCAGTATCCACGGCACTTCAGCACAGCCTGGAGTCCATGTGAGCCAGAGGGGCTCGGGAGTGAGGGCCGCCGGCAGCCAGCCGCTGGGCACATGTGTGGGTCAGGGATGGGGATGGGGCAGGGACAGGGATGGCCGTGGGGGCTGGGCTGAGAGGCCCGTTCTGAACAGCTTTAACCAAGCCCGTGAAAGCACAATAATAGAGTGCTCATTAGTGCATGCTCCTAGCAATTGGGTGACTTTCTAAGCCAGAAGTGACAGAACTGACTGTTAGCTCACACATTAGCAATTATGTGGATTTCAGTTCTGAAGTAAAAAAATAAAATAAAATAAAATAAGTGTTTCCTTGGCAACTGTACATCCATGGGCTCCATCCATCCCCGCTCACCTCCTCTCCAAGTCAGAGGCTGTGGCTTAGGGGTGGAAAGAAATCTGTGCATGGGAACCAACGGGGAAACGTGCCAGTGTCGCTTGGTTCATAAACAAGGCGCACGGAAACCATACTTCAGTGGCATTCTCTTCCCACATCCCACCTTATGGTTTTTATTAAAACATAAGTTTCTTTAGTAGCACCTGTTTGCAATGCCTGCCTGTGCCCTGCGTGGAGATGGTGCGCAGGCACAGCGCGCCTTAACTCCTTTCTCCTTCCCTTCCCCTCCCTCCCTCTCCCTCCATCGCTTCCCATTGCAGAAAGACCTCTCTTCCCACTGTTCATCTACCTGTTCGTTTGCTCTTCGCTCACACTTTGAGTTTCCCGTGTAAGAGGAATCGAGTGACATCTAAGCTTGAGTGTCTGGCGTACTTCACTTAGCACTGCGGTATCCACGATGCTTCAACACAGCCTGGAGACCTGAAGCAGAGACCTCTCGTTCACACAAATTAGAGGAGTAACCAGCAGTACAATTAGTGACCGCCCAGTACAGCAGGTGTGCTGCAGTGTACGCACGGCATCTTGGTCACTGTCCAACCACTGGGGCCGCCTTACAACAAGGCTGCTGTCATCACTGTCACCAGATTCGCAGGAAGGCCCACGAGCCTGGCAAGTGCTCTGATTCTCTGTTGAATTCTGCGGGGACAAAAGTGAAGTGCAATGTCCGGGTTCCCGGGCTTGGCACGGAGCAGCTGCAGTGCGGCCTCCAAACCCATCCTGGGCAGACAGGCGAGGCGGTGTGGCTGTGAGTGACGCCGGTGCCAGAGAGCCCCGCTGTGTTCTTGGGCACTCTGCAGTGTCTTCAGCCGCCTTTAATTTTCCTGATTCACAGTTCCACAAAGACAGTGCTGACGACACGGTGGCCTTGTACTAAATGACACGCCAAGGTACCTTTATCCTCACACAAATACTGGCATGCATTTCAGGCTGCTGGAGATAGGAAGCCAGCCCAAGACCCTGATCACTGCTTTTAAGTGGCTCACAAGCTGCAGTTGGGGTGCTTCTGGGGGGACAGTGCATTAATCTTCAGGCGATTGCAAAAGACAGGCGTTGCCGTGGGCTGCAGCATGAGGAGGGGCAGTAGCCCCACGCAGTGGCGCACACTGCCCCGCCTGGCCCAGCCAGGAACAGGGTGGGGTCTGCCCTCCAGGGAGCGGCCGCACTGCGGTCCTGGCTGCCCGGCACTGACATGTCCATTCAACAGGCTTTCTCACTGGATTTTGGAAAGTGAGTGGCAGCATTCGACCACTGCTGTGATTGCGCTGTCACCTCCTTCTCATCAGAACCATGTACAATGAAACCTATGTGGTTTATAGCACGACCTCCCACCCAATACCGCTGGACGGGCTGACGCACCTTTCCTGAGATGATGCGTGAGGTGAGCTGGACGACGACATTTTCTAGTTCTCAGAATAGAAATTCACACAGGGTTGAAAGTGTGTGCAGGAATACACACAGACACACACACACACACACACACACACACACACACTGAAATGGACCTTCTACCATTCATGAAAGTAGCTAACATCAATACCAGCAAGCCACTAGAGGTAAATCATGCTCCGTTTCATAGAATCTCCAACATTTTAAAGAATAATTTTTCATTCGACCCAGTGCCCAGGCCCGGCATGCGAGCGGGACTGCCTGAGGCCTACTGGATCTCATTCTACCCTGAGCCTGGGCCCACATGTGAGTAGAATCTTCTCCATCAGACAGGCCTGGAGTGGAACCCTGCAGCAGAACTCCCTGCAGAGAGGCTAGAGGCAAGACCCACCCAGCTGATCCAGAAGTGGAGCATTTTGCCAGAGTGGCACAGCGGGTTCACCTCCAAGGGCTGCGGCAGGAAGAAGTGGAGCACAGCAGCCAGACCCCAGCCACACCCACCGGGATGAGTTTGAATTTGGTAGATCCAGACCTGATGCTAAGACAGTAACTCTCTCTAAGCTCTACACCAAAGGTCAGAAGACAGTGACAAAGAAAAAGAGCAAAATGCATTCCCAGGCCCTGAGCCCACCCAGAGCAAATTCAGGAGGCAATAGTATAGAGGAAACTGGAAATCACACCCCTGAAATCTCTGAAATCATAGCGTCGGAAGTAAAGAAACAACTGCTGAAAGGACACCCTATAGACCTGGATAGAACCATGACCCATAGGGTGCAGGAGAAGTCCACCTGCAGGAGAAAAGAGGAGAGTAGCTCAGTCCCACAAGTATAGAGGAAATCAGATCAGAAATAATTTCTGAAGTAAGGAAAGAAATGATAACTATAATGAAAGAAGTGCTAAGTGCTTCTAAAGAAGATACTCATAAAAAATGGAGGGGAATAGAAAAATGAAAGAATCCTTGAATGAGCAATATAGGAAAGAAATCGAATGCACGAAGCAGACTCCAAGAGCTATACAGGAAATTAAAACCTCAATCACAAGCTGGCAAAACTGTTTGAATAAAAGTGAAAATAGACTTTCAGACCTTGAAGACATCATTGCAGCCAGTGAAAAGGTAAGAAAAGATCTCTTAAAAACAACTAGGATGCAGGAAAAAATAATTCAACATCTGCAAGACAATGCAAAGACGAACAATGTAAGACTAATAGGCATCAATGAGAAAGGAGGACTCAATACAAATGATATAAAAAGAATATGGGCAGAAATAATAGCAGAGAACTTCCCAAATATGGGAAAACAATCTGACATTCAAGTAACCGAAGCATATAGAACTCCAAATAACACAACACAATCAAAATCACACGTAGACATATAAAGATCACATTTAAAGGAAAACTCATCAGAATAAGGGCAGATTTCTCTTTATAAACCATCAAGTCAAGAAGAGCATGGAGCAAAGTACTA